CTGGGACAGGTGATTCTGGGACAGGGGATCCTGGGATACGTAATCCTGGGATAGGTGATCTGGGACAGGTGATTGTGGTACAGGGGATCCTGGGACAGGTGATCCTGGGATACGTAATCCTGCAAAAGGTGATCCTGAGACAGGTGATCCTGGAACCGGTGATCTGGGACAGGTGATCATGGGACAGGTGATGCTGGGACAGGTGATGCTGGGACAGGTGATGTGGGACAGGTGATGCTGGGACAGGTGATGCTGGGACAGGTGATTCTGGGACAGGTGATCCTGGGACAGGTGATCGTGGGACAGGTGATTCTGGGACAGGTGATCCTGGGACAGGTGATCTGGGACAGGTGATCCTGGGACAGGTGATCCTGGGACAGGTGATCTGGGACAGGTGGTTTGGGACAGGTGATCCTGGGACAGGTGAATCTGGACCAGGTGATTTGGGACAGGTGATCCTGGGACAGGTGATCTGGGACAGGTGATGTGGGACAGGTGATCGTGGGACAGGTGATTCTGGGACAGGTGATTTGGGACAGGTGATCCTGGGATACGTAATCCTGGGACAGGTGATGCTGGGACAGGTGATCCTGGGACAGGTGATGTGGGACAGGTGATCGTGGGACATGTAACCCTGGGACAGGTGATCTGGGACAGGTGATCCTGGGATATGTAATCCTGGGACAGGTGATCTGGGACAGGTGATTTGGGACAGGTGATGTGGGACAGGTGATCCTGGGACAGGTGATGTGGGACAGGTGAATCTGGGACAGGTGATTTTGGGACAGGTGATGCTGGGACAGGTGTTTTGGGACAGGTGATCTGGGACAGGTGATCTGGGACAGGTGATTTGGGACAGGTGATCTGGGACAGGTGATTTGTGACAGGTGATGTGGGACAGGTGATTTCGGACAGGTGATGTGGGACAGGTGATCGTGGGACAGGTGATTTCGGACAGGTGATGTGGGACAGGTGATCCTGGGACAGGTGATTTGGGACAGGTGATGCTGGGACAGGTGATTTGGGACAGGTGATCCTGAGACAGGTGATCCTGGGACAGGTGATGCTGGGACAGGTGATGCTGGGACAGGTGATTTGGGACAGGTGATCCTGGGACAGATGATCGTGGGACAGGTGATTTGGGACAGGTGATTCTGGGACAGGTGATGTGGGACAGGTGATCCTGGGACAGGTGAATCTGGACCAGGTGATTTGGGACAGGTGATCTGGGACAGGTGATCTGGGACAGGTGATGTGGGACAGGTGATATGGGACAGGGGATCTGGGACAGGTGAATCTGGGTCAGGTGGTCCTGGGACAGGTGATTTGGGACAGATGATTCTGGACAGGTGATTTGGGACAGGTGATCCTGGGACAGGTGAATCTGGGACAGGTGATTTGGGACAGGTGATCTGGGACAGGTGATCCTGGGACAGGTGGTCCTGACACAGGCTCTGTTTCCGACCCTGTCCCCCCTCCAGATCGGGGGATCCTGCTGCCCACTCACAGCAAAGGGGTCCCTGAGCCCCCCCAAACTCCTCGAGCCCCCCAGGAGTGGGGCAGGGGTCCCTGACCCCCTCCAAACTCCTCGAGCCCCCCAGGAGTGGGGCAGGGGTCCCTGAGCCCCCCAGGAGTGGGGCAGGGGTCCCTGAGCCTCCCCCAAACTCCTCGAGCCCCCCAGGAGTGGGGCAGGGGTCCCTGAGCCTCCCCCAAACCTCTTGAGCCCCCCAGGAGTGGGACAGGGGGCCCTGAGCCCCCCCCCAAACCCCTGGAGCCCCCCAGGAGTGGGGCAGGGCCAGACAGGGCCCCCGGTGCCGTGGGCATCCCACTGTTCCCACATTCCAGGGGCTTTTCCCTCCTTCCCTTCCCTTCCCTTCCCTTCCCTTCCCTTCCCTTCCCTTCCCTTCCCTTCCCTTCCCTTCCCTTCCCAAACCTTCCCTTCCCTTCCC